CAGCGGTAGTCATTTTCTACATTGTCTTTCTTCCTATCATGCTCTCACCCCATCTGTCTTAGTTTTTCAAGCTATTTCAAGCTAGAAATTGGTTCTCATATACTATTTGTTCACTTTTTTTGAGTTTGTTGACAACACATCCTTGTGATAGGAACTTTTTTTTTTAAGATTTTATTTGAACACTACATCAAAAACTAATGATGTAATGTATGGTGATTAACACAACATAATAAAATAAAATTAAAAAATATATAAAAAAATTTTATTTGAGCGAGCCCTCTTGAGCTGGCAGAGGGGCAGAGGGGGAGAGAGAGGGAAAGAGAGAATCTTAAGCCGACTTTGCACTGAGCACAGAACCCGACATGGGGCTCGATCTCACCACCCTGAGATCATGACCTGAGCCAAAACCAAGAGTCAGATGCTTAACTGACTGAGCCACCCAGGTGCCCCTGTGATAGCAACTTTTTAATTGAAAAGATAGTATCTCTTATACTAAATTAGGGCATTCTGAACAATTTAAATAAGTAGGATTTTGAGTGGCTTTATTTTCGTAGTTGCATCATGAATTAGGTATAAAAAGATGGGCTCACTTTGGCTATTGAATAATGAATTGAGAGTGTTAACCACCGGAGGTGGTATGGCAGGGTAGCTAATGTTGACTAAAATTCCATGTGTTACTGGCATGTTACAGAATGTATACTGTGCTCAGCAATAATAGTAAGTACATTTTATAAGGCTTTTAATTTGCAAAATGCTTTCACATTCATTTTCCAGTTTGAGCCACATTTCATCCCTGGAAGGAGAAATGTTATGCCCTATTAGTGGGGAAACTGAGGCCCAGAAGGCCCACTGATTTGCCCAACATCATTGTTTATTTGTCGAATTCAAAATCTGACTTCTGAGCCCATTCTTTTTCCATAACTGCAGTTCCTCCATTTCATTGGATTTCTTGGTACTTGCTCACAAATTTACACTTTCTGGTGATCGAGTTGAACTTTTCTTTGACCCCCTCCATACTGACCTCTTAATTATCTTAACCACCCTGCAGGGGTTTGCCGGTGGGTAGGTAGATGGGGAGTGGGAGGCCCAGAGGTCAGCCAGTATAAGGGACGAGAAGTTCTTAGAGAACCTAAGTGACTGCGTCAAGGAAAAGAATGTATTTGCCCTGTAGAGGAGGAAAAGCTTCCTCCTACCCTGTTAGGTTCTGTGGCTGGTTGAAGAATTAAACTGACATAAGACATTAACAGGAGAAAAGCATAGACATTTTTTTGTGTATCTGGGAGTCTTCAGAAGGAAAATGAAGCCCCAAAGAAGCCATTAGGCCAAAAAGCATAAGGGGCAATGTGATAAAAGGGCTTAAACTGTCTGAGTTGTGGGACCATGACGAGGATATGTATGGGGAAACTAATGGGAGATGATGAGGGTTATTTGGGTCTGTTTGTACAGATTCATTTTGACTTTGACTCCCAGACTGGTGATAACAGTATTACAGTGATAACAATATTCTTCTGTTCTTGATATAGAGAGGGGATCTCTCTCATGGGAAATTTTATGACCTCCTTTTCATTACAAAGCAGGGAGACCAGAGAGCCTTGCCTACATCTGCTCTTTCTCCAGTGCATTCAGCTCAAAATAACTGGGATGCCAAAGTGGCATATTTTGGGGTGGTATGTTCTGACCCCCTTCACCAAACCTGACTAAGCATTCTATTCAAGGTAGAAAACAGCTCTAATAACTGGCTAAGGAATACACTTCAAGCAAACCATATGTCAGAAAGAAAAGCGCCAAGGGCTGTAAGTCAGGAGAGATTTCTTGCAGCAGAGGGAAGAAATTGGTGGCTGAGCCAGGGTAGGATATCCTAAAGCCCAAGGCTCACCTGGGTCCAAAGCTGAATACAGATTTTTGAACTACACTGCGACTTAGGGCCTGAAAGACTGACCCACAACTAGAAGTGGGTTCTAAGAGGTAGTGTATCACCTTGAATTGGCTTCAACCATATCTGCCTCAGCATAAAGTGCTGAAGAACAATTTAGCATCCAGTCCAGTGAGGCAAGTTGAGACAAGGACATGGGAAGGCTTCAGAAACTGAGCCCCCAAGTTAATCTTCAATTTGCCTTTTTAAAATTATTTTTTAAAGATTTTATTTGTTTTAGAGAGTGAGTGCAAGCCGGGGCTGGGCAGTGGGGAGGGAGAGGGACAGGGACAAGCGGACTCTGTAATGAGTGTAGAGCCTGATGAGGGGCTGATCTCAGGCCCAAGACCATGACCTGAGCCAAAATCAAGAGTTGGACACCTGGGGTACCTGGGTGGCTCAGTCAGTTAAGCGTCTGCCTTCAGCTCAGGTCATGATCTCGGGGTCCTAAGATTGAGGCCCAAGTCGGGCTCCCTGCTCAGCGGCAGTCTGCTTCTCCCTCTCCCTCTGCCCCTCCTTCTGCTCATGCACGCTCACTTGCTCTCTCTCTCTCTTAAATATATAAATAAAATCTTTAAAAAGTTGGATGCTTAACTGACTGAGCCACCCAGGCACCCCTCCGTTGCTTTTAAAATAAGTATCATAAAGTTTACTTGGTAAATTTGCTTGCTTTTGTTTCCTTTGTTTTTCACTTTGTTTTCTAGTAAAAAGATTGCTTTGGAAAAATACTAATCTCTTTGCTGCACAAAGGGGAAATGAGTAGAAGAAATACAGACCAAGTCTGTGCTCCTAACCATCGTCCATGGTGGGTGATTGTAGATGGAGCTCTCTGAAGGATTCTTCGAGGCAGAAAAGCCTCTCCTGTCTTCCCTGGGCTCCCTTTCTCAGTCTGTCCTCTGCCCTATCTAGTTTCCTTTCCTTAATTAAAAAAAAAAAAAAAAATTGATGCTGAATTCTTGTGATCTGGGCCATTCCATTGAACCCCTATATTGTATTTACTGTGGTTAGTGTTTGTGTGTTAATAATCCTTTAAAGGGTACCGGTATGAATTCATCTCCTGCCCTCTATTGACATATATACTGTTGCTGAAATATCTTTCAAGTTTTCTGCATTGTGCCCTTCTTTTGTTTTTCCAAATGTCTGGACTACTCTCTCCAGCATCCCTTAGATCGTCCAAACTCCCATCCATCACCTCAAGTCTGTCTTCATGTGGAAGCAGCACAACTTACTCAGGGCCAGAAATCAGGGTGAGAACATTACCAAGAGGAAGCTGAAAGTAAGCAGAAATAATGTAAGGGTTTGTAGGAAGGCAAGTGCCCCCAACCATCATGAACTTGGAGATTCTCCTGGTGCTAAATGCTAAAGGGTGTGTATTTTAAATAAGGAAGGTATTATTATTTTTTAAAAAGATTTTGAGAGCGAGCAAGAGCACAAGTGGGGGGAGAGGCGGAGGGAGCGGGAGAAACAGACGCCCCGCTGAGCAGGGAGCCCAATGCGGGGCTCGATCCCAGGACCCTGGGATCTCGCCTGGAGCCGATGGCAGACGCCCAACTGGCTGAGCCTCCCAGGTGCCCCATAAGGAAGGTATTATTAATTGCCCATGGCCAGTACAGTCTGACTTCACATCCTGTTATTCCCCTTGTACTCTGCAGCAGGATTTATCAAGAATGGCCCTTGATGTTGGCGGTCAGATAATCCCTTCTTGCGGGAAGTTATCCTGTTCATTATAAGATATTTAGCAGCATCCATGGCCTCAAGCCTGGATGCCAGTAACTCCCCTCAGTTGCGCCAACTAGAAATGAACATGGACATTGCTAAATGCTGTCCAAGGGGGGAGGTTAGGAGAGAGGGGCTGCAGAATTGCGCTCCACTGAGGACCACTGCTGTGTAGGCACAATGAATTTCTTTCTTCTCGTCTTCCAGATACTGTCGGTGCCTGCACGCGTCCATGTTGTAGAATGCCCTTTCCTTTTGTCATCTTGTAAGCTTTAGCTTTGTTCAAGATCCAGCTCTGCTGGGAGGCTTTTCTCGTCATGTTTGCTAAAACTGTTAATGCCCCCTTTGTGCTCCCAAGCACATAGTAATTATAGACTTAGCATGTATAGAGCTCCTACTATGGGGCAACCATTATGTTAGGTTTTAGGAATATAGCAATAAAGAAAAACATTCTTGCCTTGTGTTGCTTAGTCTAACATATTATATCACCAAGTATATTTGTAGTTCCCATAGAGACCATGAATTCCTGGAGGGCAGAGACCAAGTGTTGGGTCTTACTCCCTTCTGTATCCCCTAACTCCTTACATAGTAAGGACACAGGCTTGGTCTTCATAGTATTTGGTGAATAAAGAAATAATTTATTCTGCTCTCTGCATCTCTCCTTACATTAACCCAGTTCAGGTTCTCCTCATTGTAAATATGAGCTCTTGTCTGTTTCCAAATGAGATCTGCGGACTCCATTTGCCCCCTTCAAATCCTACCTTCTGCAAAGACGCCAGAATGAGATGTCCAGAAGACAAACCTTAACGCCTCTGCTTAAAAGCCATCTGTGCTTCTGATTGCATCTGGTGTTTTAAAGACAGACCAATGTCTGTAACATAGCTGAGTCTGGACTTTTCTGGCCACTCACTTCCCTACATTTCTCTCCAGCCGAACAGCCTGTACCTCGCCACAGTCACTGCTCTTCCACACCCCAGACGCACCGCTCCCGCTTCCGCTCTCTGCAATTTTCCCCTCGTCCTCTGGGTAACTCTAACTTACCCTTTAAGATTCAGTTCAGGGATCCATTCTTTCTGGAAACTTCTGGGCCATCTACCAGACTAGGTTGGGTGTTCCTCATCTGTGTCCCACAGTGTCAGTGTCTACTTTAGAATTATTTCTTAACTGTTGATGTATCTGCCTTTCCAATTCTGCAGTGAGTTTCTTGCGAGCTAGAATTCTTACTCCTCTTTGTGTCCCAGGTGTCTAGCACAGTAACTGACAAGTGGTCAGTTGTAGACTTTGAGTGAATGAAAAATTTCATAACAGGAACTTCTATTTAACATAGAAGTTTAAAATAGAAGCTCTTAATAATTATTTTTGCTTTCCACAGATATTGGTATCAACTTGACAGATCCTATGTTCAGAGGAATTTATAGGGGAGTTCAGAAGCATCAAGGTAAATGTTTCTTTTATTAAGATAGTTTCTCTAGGGGCACCTGGGTGGCTCAGTGTTAAGCGTCTGCCTTCGGCTCGGGTCATGATCCCAGGGTCCTGGGATCGAGCCCCGCATCGGGCTCCCTGCTCCGCGGGAAGCCTGCTTCTCCCTCCCCCACTCCCCCTGCTTGTGTTCCCTCTCTCGCTGTATCTCTGTCAATAAATAAAATCTTAAAAAAAAAAAAAAAAGTTTCTCTATGAAGACAAGTTTTCTGCCTCAAGGAGATCATGAGAAGCATAACCCACTTTACAATTGAAATATTAAAAGGATTTATTATGCATCTTGGATGCATATAGTTTAAAACTGTAAACCAAGTGAAATATACATACGCTACATGGGTAAATCACAACCATGAGCATTTATAAAGCACCTGTAATAACAGTGTTACCAAGGCCTCCTTCTCTGAGGAAGTTTATAATTTCGAATATAGAAATGCATAAAAGCCAAACAATGGTTGATGTTTAATTAGTCTTTTAAGCAATTGAACATGAGGGCACATAATTTAAAAATCACATGCAGTTGAACATCAAAATCACATTCAGTTGAACATCACTGTAATACCTAGTCTTTTGGAAATGTTTTCACCTGGGTGACAAAGTGGTAATGTGGTTAAGGAGTGGGCGCGCTGCTCTCCAGCTTCCCTGTCTTGCCTTCCCCCCTTTCTTCCAAGTCCTGCTAGAGCCCAGATCCCTGCGGTGTAGGTGGGAATACACAGTAGTTTCTCAAAGATTGATGGAAAGCTTAGCCAAAAGCAAAATGGCTTCTATTTATCATATCAAGATCATTCGTGTATTTTGTCATCTGAGGTGAGGAAGCAGGAAATGATGGTGACAACACGTTTTTGAAAGGAGAATTTCTCCAATAAACTGGTTTATGAATATTGCCTTAGAAAATTACTGTATTTGTTATGTAAATGCAAACAGGAAAATTTGGGTTTGTGGTCTGGGTGAAGAGGAATTACACATTTCTTTCAACAATTAAGTTAGAGCCAATTTCACTTGTGCTTCTAGGTGATACTAAGTGAAAGCTTCTCTAAATACTGGGAATGTGACATGCCACTTGAAAGAAGAAAGTTAAATATTAGCTTTCATAAGCCTTACCTCAAAACTTACCTTTTCTACTGCATTTAGAAGTTTTGATAATGTCTTTGTTTTATAAGATGTTAGGTACTGCAGATGATTGAATAAATTATATTCTGATTGTCTTGCTGTTGTAGCACTTCCTAGATTTCATGCTTTGTGACCCTTACGTGTGTGTGTGTGAAATAAGCTTTATTATCATCAATATCAGTAGCACTCTGGTTTATAATATTTAGTGAAACTAGTTGTTAGAAGTTCACTAAATTGATAGTTTTTGTCTAAAATTTTATTGCTACTCTAGAAATGAATTCTAACTAAATTTCCTGTGATAATTAAATATGAAATTAATAAGTGGGTTTTTATGATAGAATTGTTTGATTTTGCTGTTCCATTTACCTCAGGCCTCTTAAAGCTTAGCTTTCTATTGATCTCCCCAGAAAAGGTTGTTACTTAACAAGAAACTTTGGGGGAAGAGCAAAGAACTGTCAGAGAAAATAAAAATTATCCTTCCTCTGTGGGAATGGGAATTATAGAAATACAGCATTAACTGCAATTTACAAAGAGATGTTTTATCATGTTTTGGGAGGCATTACAGATACATTTTGAAAAGCCCTAGTAAAAATAACAATTTTAATGATTGTTTCATTTTTATTTAAAAAAATACAGTACCAACAAGTTTCAAACTTAAGGCAAGTAATTTAAATTGTAGTGAGCAAATTCACGTTTTGTTGGAACCCCCTGATTTTTGTCACTTTTCTCCCTTTTGGTCAACAGAATAAAATATAATTAAATGGATAACTAGTCATCTAGTTTGCCTCATATGGATTTCTTTTTTTTTTTCCCTCGGGTGATTGCTGATTATTATAAGTACTCATCAAACTATTGATTTGGTAAATATAATTGTTTCTATGTATTTTTCTTTCAAGAAGGGATAAGTGAAATTTTTTATAACAAGTTTTCTTAATGTGGGGTTTGCTTTTTACAGATGACTTACAAGATGTAATAGAGAGAGCTGTCCGGATTGGTGTTAAAAAGGTAAATTTTTGTTAAGTTTTCTTAAAAATTAAATTTTGGTTAAGATACTGTAGAATAGAAGAGAAAGAGCTAATGCCACACTTGGCATTTTGGGATATGTATTGTCAACAAGTAATATTAGCAAGTAAATGAAGTAAAATACCAAACTTAAGTGAAACAGACCTCATGCTTGGATAGTTCTTTATGTGAGCAGAAATGTGGTAAATGGCAAAGTCTCTTTGAAAAAAAATTTTTACAACCTATCTGAATTACCAGGCTTCTCAAGATGCAACTCTTAAAAATAAATTTTGTAACATAACTTAGCATTTGTTAGAATTCAGTGGTCTTTTGTTAGAATTCATTGGTCATCAGAAAGACTTGTATCTGTGTATGGATATACCTTTTCAAATAACTGAGAAAACACTTTAATTTTTATAGTACTAATTTGATTATCAGGAAAATTCTGCTTTTTAGAGAGTTCTAAGCAAATGAACAGTAGCTCTGTGTCAAATTCTTTGAATAGATACTTCTTTTTAATTAGTATTTTTAAAAAATATCAAGGTAACCCACATATGCACACATAAAGTTAAGTTTCCCAGTGTGGTGTCCAGAGACTTGGTAGCTGCGGCTTCTGGTTGAATTACTTCCGTTGTAAGAGAGGACCCTGCTGGCTCCTGAGATCCGCAGTCCCAGCTCTACACTGTAGAGTCACTGCTCACAAGTAATAAGAAAGGATAAAAGTTACAGCATTCACTTCTCATTATGCAGTCATTCTCTGCTTGGTAAATCACTTTATAAAATGCTTTTCTGCAGACTCTGAAATACCAAGCTCCTAAATTTTCATGTGTCAGCTGTGAGTAGTTTAATCTAACATTTGGAAGCGTACACACACCGATGTAAGAATGACAGAAATGGAATTTACTCAGTCGTGGTTCCTAGTTGGAATCTAACTTAGTGTCTTGCAGTTAAGTTGTAGTGATGAAAAGCACAGTTATGGCCTCACACCGCTGGGTTCCAGCCCCAGCTTCATTCTTCAAAGCTTCGTAACATGGGCGCTTCTCTCTCTAGGCTTCAGTTTTCACATCTGTAATTCGAGAATGATAATAATGCCTAATTAAGGGAGTTGTTGTGAGAGTTAAATAAAGCTGGAGTGGAAAGCACTTGGTATTGTACCTGCGTAAACACCCTTTATTCTATCAGGTTTCTGGTGGAAGGCACCATGATCCTGATATCATTGTGACCTGCGAGAGGAAATTACGTTCTCTGGTCTTGTCCTTGCTTTTTCATCTATTTGGGAAAGTTATAATAGATAAAAGAGAGACTTGAATAGAAACTATTTTACAGAATAGAAATACTAGATCTGGGCACCTGGTCTTGTATTAAAGAATTAGGTAGTGTTAGTAAACAGTCAAGTTCTCCGAATATTTTTGTTAAGATATTATACCCTGTGTTTTACAAGCAGTTGAGGATTTAATAATGGCTGTGCGTTCCCTGAATTAGGTTCTCAGTGCCTATTATATTAGAAGTTTAGGTTGCTATATGAAAACATCTGTTCATCATTTGCACTTCCTCCTGTGTTTTGTGTGTTTTCTCTTTAGGCGCGTGCCTAGAAGGAATTCTTGATTTTGGCTCAGTGAGGCGCTTGGAGTGAGATGCTTAAAAAAATCTACATCAGTGTGCTTAGTAAGTCCCTTCTTTAGAAGGGCACACACTTCAGCACTGCCTCAGTAGCCGGTCCCTTTAATACAGTCGTTCTGACCGCCGGTGGACCCTGAGGGCGCCTCTTTAGAAATGTGCTTTCTGCCAGGAGCCATGCATTTCCTTACAAAGAATTCAAAATGCCTTAATCCAGTGATGGTCAAACTATTGGTCTCAAAACCCATTCACGTTCTTCAATATTCCTGAAGACCCCAAAGAGCTTTTCTTTATGTGGGTTTTATTTGCTAATATTGGACATTAGAACTAAGAAGAATGTAAAATATCTATTAACAGTAAACCATTATATAACATAGGTAGCATATTTTTATGAAAAATAAGTATTTTCCAAACAAAAAAAAATGTGATGTGAGTGGAACTGTTTTATTTACTTATTTATTTTAAACATCTCTTGAATGTCTGGCTCTTAATAGAAGACTGCTGAACTTGGATATCTGTTTTTGCAGTCAGTCTGTTGTGATATTACACATCATGTAGCCTCTGGAATATCTCATTGCACACTTGGGGCCGGGTGAGAGTGAAAAAAGGCAAAGAGCATCTTAGAATTATTATGAAAATAGTTTTGACCTCACATTCCTCCAGGGGTTCTGGGACCGCACTTGGAGAACTGTTGAATTAATAAACACTACTGAATCTCCAATTTAGATTAAAAGAATTCTTTTTTTTTTTTTAAGATTTTTTATTTATTTATTTGACAGAGACACAGCGAGAGAGGGAACACAAGCAGGGAGAGTTGGAGAGGAGAAGCAGGCTTCCTACGGAGCAGGGAGCCCGATGTGGGGCTGGATCCCAGGACCCGGGGATCACGACCTGAGCCGAAGGCAGACGCTTAACGACTGAGCCACCCAGGCGCCTCAGATTAAAAGAACTCTAAATTTAGAAGTCTTTATTTTTTATTTATTTATTTATTTTTTAGAAGTCTTTAGTTATTTGGTCTTTCATAATGTGATCTCTGTGCTTAAGGAGCTCTTGATCTAACAGGAAAAACAGACATGTGAATACATTTTAATGGGAAGGCGTGACAAATTCTGTGTTGTATGTATGCTTGTATGGAGAGGGGTAGTCAGGGACCACTCTAAATAGGTGATGACCTTTCAGCCAAATTTTAAAGGAAGGGTAAGTGTGTGACAGTCAAAGAGAGAAAAGCATTCTGGAAAAAAAGCAGCAGGAAGGCATGTTTGGGAAACTGTTGCTGATGCTCTATTCAAGTAGGCTTATTTCTTTCTATTTCAGTTTATGATTACAGGTGGAAATCTGCAGGACAGTAAAGAGGCACTGCATTTGGCACAAACAAATGGTATCCTCATATTACTTTTACCCCCTCCCCCCAATATGAATTATTTTGAAGAAATCTTTCTAAAAATGGCCTCAGGTACAATACAATGGATTGTGACTGTAGAAATAACAGGAAAACAGACTGATTGCAATGGGACATGATTAAAATGCAAGAATTCTAAGTACCCACTGGTGTATCAGATGTGATTAAACCCTCTCTCTCACTGTACTTAACAATTATTTTAAGATTTCAGTTAATGAGAATTAAGTTCACTGGGTATACAGTTTAGCCTCACATATTTCTGATGTAAGATTTTTTATGTTGTAATGTGCTTAGATGTGAGTTGCTTTTTATTTGCATTTTTAAAACTTAAACTGTTAAGGGTCATTTATTAAATATTTATCACGTAGACAGTTGTTGTAAGGCCCCAGGAATGCAAGTAATAATAAATAATCTCTCGGCTCACTTTATGTTCATACATTTTGCATTTTATTTAAAATCTATGAAGTTTTGTAACTGGTTCCTAAGGAAATCCTAGTTACAGAAAACCTCTCCTTTATCTGGCATTCACTTTACCTAACTTATTTTGGTTTTGTGTTTTGGCATGCATGCTTCTTGTGCTAGACATTGAAGAATTAGGCATTCCATGTTATTTTTCAAAATACGGATTTACTTATTAAAAGTTATTTTTTATGGAAATCTTTCTAAAATGCATACTTCTCTTCAGGATCCACTGACACTTAGTGATTAAAAGTAGTCACCTTCCGAGATGCCTTTGGGGGTATAAGAATATGGCCTTCTGTACTTTTTAATCCCCAAAGAGATCTGCTTTTAAAAGTTCTTGAAGCTCTCCTTGTCAGCCCTCTTCACTCCTCCTCCCCTACGGTGTCCTCACTGCTTTAAAACCTCTGCCTCCTTTATATGTAAACACCTGCAGGAGAGGCTGAGGAAGGCTCCCCTCCTCTCCTGTGGGTTCAGGTGCAGGCCACTCAGAAGCCCTTTTTTTTTTAAAGATTTTATTTATTTGATAGAGAGAGACACAGCGAGAGCGGGAACACAAGCAGGGGGAGCAGGAGAAGGAGAAGCAGGCTTCCCGCCGAGCAGGGAGCCCGATGTGGGACTCGATCCCAAGACCCTGGGATCATGACCTGAGCCGAAGGCAGTCGCTTAACCGACTGAGCCACCCAGGCGCCCCTCAGAAGCCCTTTTTGACTTCATATTTGTGTTCCATACAATTACAGCTGTCAAGGTGTGGTCTCCAAATAAGTGAGCTTTATTTTTCATTAGAAAAACCAATCCCAGAGTGTCTGGGTCAGTCAGTTAAGCTTCTGTCTTTGGCTCAGGTCATGATCCTAGGGGTCCTGGGATTGAGCCCGGAGTGCTCCCCACTCAGTGGAGAGCCTGCTTCTCCCTCTCCCTCTGCCCCTCCCCCACCTTGTGCTCTCTTTCTTTTTCTCAAATAAGTAAATAAAATCTTAAAAAAAAAAACAAAAAACAAATCCCCCTTCCATCTCTTTAAGTCACCCTTTTTAAGGGGAAGAAATACATTTTGTTATATTAAATACATGAAAAAGACAGTGATGTGAATAGTGAATATAAAGGATATAATTAGGTTATGACATTTCATTCTCCAAGAAATTGTTTCACTTTCTATTCTACAAGACTCAATAAATACCAAGCTTTGGAAAGTTGAATTAATTCTTTTTACAAATATGTTATGGCAATTTTCATATTCATGTCCTGCTTTGTTAAGGTGTTCCAAAAATTATATGATTGAACTTAATTCTTGTGGTTCAAATAGTTTATGGCTATTAAAAATTAACCAGTTGAACTTATTCTATCATTTTGCATATTAAATGTAATATGAAAAATATTTTGAAAATAATCCTAAGACATTATTTTGTGCTAGATATGTTTTTCAGTACAGTTGGATGTCATCCTACAAGATGTGATGAATTTGAAAAGAATGATCCTGATCTTTACTTAACGGAGTTGTTAAATCTTGCTGAAAACAATAAGGGGAAAGTTGTAGCAGTAGGGGAGTGTGGACTGGGTAAGTGCCAACCTAGCCCTGTTAGAGTGACTTTGAAAGTGATTTGTTCTGTATACGGTAATGCGTTGTTACTGGTTCTTTTTTTATCTTTTAAAGATTTCGACCGACTACAGTTCTGTCCCAAAGATACTCAGCTCAAGTAAGGAAATTTTTGACTTTCGTAATTATCATACAATCTTAAGTGATTTTTTTTAAATAGCTTTTATCTGTTCAGAATGTAGTTGGATTAAGCATCAGGATTTTTTGTTTTTCCCTTTGTATATCAAAAGTTAAGTGAAATGGAAGGGATGGAAGCATACAGTTCCTAACCGATTAACCATCTAACTTAATTTTAATGGTAGAAATAAGGGATGAGTTTTACGTGATGGAGACTTTCGTTGTTCTTTGCCTCATGAATGTATTCATGCATGAACCATTCCAGTGAAATGATTTAAATTCATTTGGGGGCATGATTTAAGAGCCAAGGGTAAGAAATTATAGGATCAATCATCAAAGTAGGAAAAACCTCCTCTTGCTGGGCACTGGATATAGTCAACTTAGAATGTGAGGGTCTTTTCACAGGACCCATGTGGAGAGTGGTGGCGTCTCAGAAAATTCCAAAGTTCCCAACCCTTGTAGACTTCCTGCAACCCACTGCCTATACCTTTTAGTTGGAGCTCCTGTCAGCATATCGGTGGGTAGTGTGATAGGCCAAAAAGAAAAATTAGGTCATAGACTTAATTTAAGACATGAGCATTTTGTTGCGTTTCAAAAACAATGTATTAATTATCCAGGTGATAAAACAGTAGAATAAATCCTCTCAGAGCTGTTTAGTGATGTATGATGCTATGGTTTTCAGGGACATTCACATGATTACCAAGCAGGATTACTAAATCCTTAACATCTCTTGAATATCATTTATAGGTCACTTACCTTAAAAGTTCACATATTCACATTTAAATAGAAAAATAGGTTGTTTCTTAGGTTAAGCCCAGAGATCATAATTCCTCCACTTTAGATTCTGTTTTTGGCCAAGATGAATGTCATGACGCAAACAGACGGTGTAGGGTGTGACAATCAAGGGCAGTGGTAGAGTCCCTCAGGATTCCCTCCTCATGAGACTTTGATCCAGATGCATTCAAACTGATTCTAAAATGCAACCTGAATACTTTAAACTCGATTTCTTTTGTATCTAATGAAAATATTGAGAAATAAAAATTACTGCTCTGAGAATATTTCCACCATCACCTTAAGATCAGAACTTAAAACAGTATGTATAGCAGGGTATAGTTTATGCTTGAACACAGATACCAATTGCCCAGGTATTAATCTGTACTAGAGAGTTTAAACTCCATTCATTCAGTGAATGATTACCAAGTGCCTCCCCAGTGTAATACAAAGAATAGGCTTGGTTCTGATGCCTTTATAGACAAGAGAGGACATAATTAATTAAAATGGTTTGGAAAATGCTAACAAAAAGATGTATGACAGCAGGGGGGAGGACCTTCTGGGGGAGTCAGGGAAGGCTTTGCTAATAAGGTGAGGGGATGTGAGCTAGGTCTCTTCCAGAGTAGATAAAGCTAAGGACAAACTAAAGTATGGTATAAATTTTGAAAAGACGGGCAGTTCAATTTGAGATTTTTTTAAAATTATAAAACATCAAATGATTTAGTAAAAAAACACACCAGTAGGAATCCCATTTGGATTGATGTTAAGGAAACAACCCCCTCCTTCTGCCGATGCTCCCTCTTTTCCCCTAGCATATGCTCCCAGAGTGCAGCTCCCTCCCTGCACACAGGGTGCTCTGTACTTGTTTCAGCATTTTGCACATTGTCCTGGAATACGTTTATGTCACCCCTTCCCGTCCCACAGCAGACTAGTGTCGGAGTTCTCCGGAGGCACGTACCCAGCCTCACTCATGTTGTCGTACCCACAGCACCATGCACAGTACTCTCAGCGCACGGCAGGTACTCCGTAAATGTTCACAGAGTTCTTAATAAGGGGAAAAGGCTCTTTTTGATTCCTGGAGAGCAGCATGGATTGAAAAGCTTATAATTCAGCTTTTACTGTTGGATCTTTTCTTGGAAGAATTTAAATTTGGGGGCTGTTCTTTTATACCATCTGAGACAATTAACCAGTGTATGTTTTGTTGCTTTTTTTTTTTTAAGTAAAAATGCAGTCAGGAAAAAGATGTATCAGAAGAGAAAAATAGAAAATGGTGTGATGTGAGTAGGCAAGACAGAACTAATGGGCAGTAGACACAGTGGCTAAAAAATACTGTCTGAGACCTACTGGTAAGTAAAGGCAGTATGTAACTGTGCAAAGTAGTTCTCTTTAGAATCAACAGCTTTGGGTTTAAATCGTAACTGCCATTTGGTGGCTGTATGTCTCTGTAAATCTCCATTTCCTCATCATTAAAATGGGGCTAATACTGCCTACCTTTTTTAACACTTGGTATGTAAAGCCCATCGCAACATGTATATGCTCCAGAAATTGTGGCTGTGGGGGTAGTCTTAGAAATACTTTCATCCTGGGCGCTTGGGTGGCTCAGTTGGTTAAGTGACTGCCTTCAGCTCAGGTCATGATCCTGGAGTCCCTGGATCGAGTCCCGCATCAGGCTCCCTGTTCGGCAGGGAGTCTGCTTCTCCCTCTGACCCTCTCCCCTCTCATGTGCTCTCTTTCTCATTCTCGCTCTCTCAAATAATAAAATCTTTAAAAAAACAAAACAAAACAAAACAAAACTTCCATCCTAAGGAAAATACAGACTCTTCTTTTTCCTTGGGGTCTTTGAAAAGATTTTTTAAAGAGCATGAAGACAAGGAAGAAGCCGGAGTTGCTAAGGAAAGGTTTTCCTTGAAGCATACGCTGTATTTTCAGTTTCTGCCCCGTGCTACATTCCCTTTCCTTGTTGCAAGTTCAGTGCTTAGTTCACTTGAGTTGGAGGAATTTGCTGTGGGATTTTCCTTGGGGCTTTAAAATGTTGATACTGGGCAGGTCTGTTTTGGAAAAAGAAATCCGACATCAGACAAGATTTCAAAATAACCGCCTGGGGATTTGGGGAACCTCAGAGATGAGAAAGTGAGGCTGTCCTTGCCATGGGCCAGTCCAGAGGCAGCCCTGCTCTGTGGATTAAGGTGCAGTGCTGTAAGGCTCTGGGCGTTTGGGAGTAGCCTCAGTCTGAATTACTAACAGCTACTCGGAAGCTGACCTTTTCAAGCCCTTGTCCTCAGTTATTGTTGACCCTAAAATGGAAGAAGCAGTAATACAATCAGAAGCAAATTACAGCTTCACTAAAATGAGCAAATCTAACTTCAACAGTGCTTTTCATATGTGAATTAAGAAAAAAATAAAAATAAAAAGAGAAATCTCTTGATAGGTGCCAGTTTCTGCTGCCCTGTAACTTATGCGATTTCTATTTACCATGGTGGGTTTTTCTCTTTAAAGACAACAGGTACTTAATGTCAAGCACTGGTTATCCTCAATTTATGTCATTAAGAGTAATTGGCCTCCTTAAGATACCTAGCTAGCTTGAGTGCATGGACCTTTCTTTTCTCATATGCAGAATTCCGGAGGCACGTTGCTTGAACATCTGTTACTTTCATAATTTTTACTTTTGCCTGCTGTGATAGGCTTATTCTCAAGGGGATCATTAGATTCTGTAAGTCTGTGGCTCGGTTGTGTGGCTTTGCACATAGAATTGTGTGTGAAAGAAATGATCCGTGTAGAGTGGGGAGCCGTAAAGCGGAGAGTGCGATGTGTAGCCAGAAGCCAGAGCCACGGCCAAGTTTACGTAATGACTGGAGCGCATTTCATTGCTGACATTTGAATTACTTTAGAGGTTATGGAAATAGTGACTTTTCTTTGAGTATTTCATTTCTATTTCCTACAGTCTGAAATTTCAGCACTTTGTTAACTAAAATTATTTTTGCTTATTCTAGCCCAGCAGAATCTGAAAAGGTGATTTAAAAGCCTAAACACTGGGTAATAAAGACAAAGACCACCAACATTATGAAAGCTATTTAAGAAGTACACTTATATTTCTGATTTTAAAATTTAGCGTTTTCAAGCGGACAAAGGGGTACTCCAGGAAAATGGTTGTCCTGTATTTCAGGGAGACAAGATAGAGGAATATATAGCAAGAGATTTAAATTAAACAGCGAGAAATTGTTCCCTAAAATTAAGGTGCCTAGAAGAGGTAAACTCCTGTAGGAAAATAAGACCCTTACTGTCTGTAACTCTTGGTTTCATTTGAACTGCATGACCATGAGTGGAGAATGAGTAAGCCCCGGCGCTGAGTGAGAAGACCTGGAACACCCACCCCGTTATATCATCTGGCTATTGTCATTATGCTGTGCGACCAGAAAAGGCTTCTTAGAAATGTCACAACTTTGTCATTTTGGCTGGGACCTGGAATTAGAGCACTCAAGTTCTGGGTCCAAGTTTGTCATGTTGTGTTGTGATCTTGGATGAGGTCCTACATCCCCTGACACCAGCTTTTATCCTATTCTAGGGTTATTTTGTGGATCAGATGAGATAATGGTATGTGGCACTTGAAAAACCTTTTTATAAAGTACTCTCCAAACATTCACAGCTGCCATTTTATTTTTTTAAAGATTTTATTTATTTATTTGACAGAGAGGGGGAGAGGGAGAGAGAGCACAAGCAGGGGGAGTGGTAGGCAGAGGGAGAGGGAGAAGCAGGCTTTCCACTGAGCGAGGAGCCCGATGAAGGACTCGATCCCAAGACCCTGGGATCACGACCTGAGCTGAAGGCAGACGCTTAACCGACAACTACCCAGGTGCCCCACGGCTGCCATTTTATCATATCATTTTTATATCTTTGAAAAATAGTGTTTCAGTTTTTGTGCTACTTATATTTATTTAATAAATCCTTGTGTTTAGTGGTAGTAATTTCTTATATAACAGCACATGGAAAACACTGAGTATAAAGCCTTCCCTGGCCCCTTGCTGGAGCGAACTGACTTCCACTGATGGTGCTCAGCCAGCTCTCGGGGCAAGAAGCTGGTGGTGTATTCTTCACCTCCAACACATGCTGCAGGGAAGGGATCCCATGGGTGATGGGAGGGTGTCTGTTTCATTTGCTTGGGTTTGGTGGGAAAAGCTAGTTAAAATTACTTGAGGGGCACTTGGGTGGCTCATTCAGTTATGTGTCTGCCTTCAACTCAGGTCATGATCCCAGGGTTCTGGGATTGAGCCCTACATCAGGCTCCCTGCTTCTGCTAACTACCCTGCACCCCCCCCCATGCTCTCTCTAGCTGTCTCTCTCTCAAATAAAATCTTTTTTTAAAAAAAGTAATTATTTGAGGGAACAGCTCCCATCACTGTAAACTTAAACATTATAGCTCTCTATTTCTAAAAGTGATGAGTAGTAAAGTGCTACCTAATTTACCTAGCAGTTATAATGGAAAGCTAACCAACATTTTTGAAAATAACTTTGTAATCCCAGAAAATGAAGTATCCTTTTCTGGAAGTTGTTATAAAAAAGCCTTTGGCTAAGCCAGATGTGTTATTTAAATGTCTGAGTTCATACTTCTATAATCTCAAAATAATAAAAGTTTTTTAACTTAAAAAAATATTTAACATAATTATTTTTCTCACGCTAAAGTAAAATTATCAAGGAAATTTTTTTTTGGTGTCCTACAGATATTTTGAAAAACAGTTTGAACTGGCAGAACAAACAAAATTACCAATGTTTCTTCACTGTAGGAACTCACATGCTGAATTTTTGGGTGAGTTAAAGCTGAAATCTCATTTAGGATTTAAGAATTTTACAGAAATCAAGCAAGGTGTTTGCCAACAGTTGTTTGTTTTTAATTCACAGACATAATGAAAAGAAACAGAGACCGGTGTGTGGGGGGAGTGGTAAGTAGAAGAGCTGTTTTTACTAGATGATGCCCAGAAGCTTCCTTGTTCCTCAGGTTGGCGAATTCAGGTATCAGCCGTAGATGTTCTTCCCCCCCCTTACTGAAGGACATACATTTACTATAGAATCTATGGACCAGATGTGATATATAAATCACACTGATTTAATTACATTTATTTTGTTCAAAGTACAAGAATGATAAAGAATTCAGTTCACAAGAAAACCCCATGAATTTACTCACATTTTAAGAGTGTAGGTGATACTCTTTTTCTCTGCCTCTTCCATCAGATGTTCCTCAGTGTTTTCCAGTTGAAATTCTGAGCAGAGTATAAACTAATTTTAATCAAGTATTTTAATCCTCACTTCAGGTTTGCCTTCTTAATTTCTTGTCACCTGTATTCATTTACTGTTAACCACTCTGATTAGAGACCCCTTTTTTCTGTAATTTGCTTCCAATCTCAACACTTCTGTGTGGTCATTTCAGTCAGTTCTCATAAATCTTATCTGCCTTAGCTCAGGCATCCACAGCAGCATTTTTTAAATCTTTTGGATTATGGGTTCTTTTGAAAATCTGCCTCAGAAAAATTCTCAGATGCACAAACTTTCACCTGTAATTTTAGGAGCGATTCACTCGTCTCTAGCAGAAAAGCTATGGTCCAAGTATATAAAATCAGTCGTACTAAGTCCAACGAAGAAAAGAGGAAGTGGCCCTGAGCACTCACCGTATACCCACACTGTGTTGCTTTGAGTGTCGCCTGTATTCTCGCGTTGTAGCCTCTGCTTCATGTCCCCCAGACGCTAGTGATGTTTTCTGCAGTGCTGTGCACATTTTTATCTACAGTTTACTGACCCTGCAGTTTATCCTTTAGGAACTGAGAGAGGCTTAGAGGCTCTGATTAATGCCCTTGGGATTAATGGTTCCACCTCTTAGCCCATTTGCTTTATTTCTAAAGAAGAATTTACTTAACAGCAACAAATGCAACCTAAATGTTTGACTTTTATCAAAAAAAGATATTGCCAAGGGGCGCCTGGCTGGTTCAGTTGGTAGAATGTGTGACTCTTGATCTTGGGGTTGTAAGTTCAAACCCCACATTGGGTGTAGAGATTACTTAAAAATTAAAAAAAAAAGGCTGCCAAATAAAGTATAACTAATTTTCTGAAATGGTTTATGAAGTCTTATTTAAAATTATTTGATTTTAATGGAGGACATATCTTCTAGTCAGCTGGAAATGCTGAAGGGAAGACTAAAGCCTTCTGGGCAGTTGTGGAACAGTTTTATTTTTGAGAAGCATGTTATTCATAGTGGATTCGGACCCTGGATGCTGTATGAACGTATTAATGACATCACTTGTTAGGTGTGTGTGCTTATTTATTTATAAAAAGATTTATTTAAAAGAACATGCATACATGAGCGGGGGAAGGGCAGAGGGAGAGGAGAGTGAGGATCCCAAGCAGACTCCGCACTGAGCCCCACATGGGGCTCGATCCCATGACCCATGAGATCATGACTGAACTGAAACCAAGAGCTGGATGCTTAACCAACTGAGCCACCCAGGTGCCCTGACTTGTTAGGTGTATTTAAAGAAGTGTTGTTACTTACTGTTTTGGTTACACAAATACATCCAAAGTGTGAAAAACTATGCTTGAATCCCTGTCTCTTTGAAGGAGAACACCACCATCTCACTCCTTTTTGCCTCCTGAGGTGATTATTACTGTTTTTTTAGTGACATTATCACAACTCTGAATAGATCTTCTTAAAACTTGCCTCTTAAGTCCTCTCTCTCCTAGAAAAAAGTATCCCGTAACATAAAAATTGAACATTTGAAGATACACTCTGCATGGTTTTGTCACATTTTTAACTTCATGCTTTTGCCTGAGAATGTGGCTCCCACCGCCGCTCCCCTTCCTGGGGGCACCGCAGGAATGCTGGAACAGCCATCAGCCAGCCCCGGACAGAAATCCCAGGCGGCCGTCTCCCCTCTTGCCGCACATCAGTGGAGATGTTGACCCATTTTATTGGATTTGAAAATAAAAATTGTAGGGGCCACCGCATTTGACACCCTCTGGTCCAGAAAACCCTAATGCATCTATATTTTTGCTAAGAAAGTCTTATTAGTGTTATTTAGGATTTTAAAGAAAGAGTAATTATTCAATGAAATTGTACCTGTACGTCCTTAGGTGCATTCATTTGATGGTACGAAGGAAGCAGCAGCTGCCTTGACTGACTTGGGTCTCTACATAGGATTTAATGGCTGGTAGGTCCTTAAGTTTGCTTGTTTTATATTAAGTAGATTCCTTGTTTTACAGTGAATTGTAGATAAGGATTTAAATGTATTTATTTATCACATTGATCTTGGCCTGCAAATTTCCTAAGTATGAAAGAAATTAAACTACATTACTCCTGCAAGTAAAACTTGAAAGTTAAAGGGCACCTGGCTGGCTCAGTTGGTAGAGCATGCGGCTCTTGATCTTGGGGTGGTGAGTTCAAGCCCCACTTTGGTCACAGAGTCTACTTAAAAAAAAAACTTGCAGGTTATAAACTACTAACCCTGTATCACAGTTATAGAAAACAGTTTTGTATGGAGATTGACAGCTTTCTCTAGCAACGCAATTTTTTCTCAAGTCATTTTATCCCTTTAAAACATCCATGTTGGGGCGCCTGGGAGGCTCAGTCATTAAGCGTCTGCCTTCGGCTCAGGTCATGATCTCAGGGTCCTGGGATCGGGCCCCACATCGGGCTCCCTGCTCTGCGGGAAGCCTGCTTCTCCCTCTCCCACTCCCCCTGCTTGTGTTCCTGCTGTCACTCTCTCTCTCTGTCAAATAAATAAATAAAATCTTAAAATAAATAAATAAAACATCCATGTCCTCAGCATTGTGTATGCATATACACAAGTGATGTCTGCCCCAGGGGAAAAGTCCTACTATGACATAATCATTTTGTGTATCTCTATAGGCCAAGAAATTGAGGCTCACAGTAGTTAACAGGCATAAAGTAACTCACAGCTTGAGAATCAGTGTCCTTTGGCGCCACCCTCGCTGGCCTTCCTGCTATTCCACCACACCAGTCTGCGTAAGCCCAGTATAGTCAGCTAGCACCGCTGGGCCCCTGGGCTTGCCCTCTCCAGTGTCTCATTCCTTTTAAAACTACCACTTAGCTGACTACATTATTTTTAACTAAAATATCTCTTCAGGGAAATAGAACCATGAAATTATTTGCTATAGAGTTCAGATTTATTTATATGTCCTAGATGCTGCTTCTATATTTTAATCATTTAATTAATAAACCTCTATGGAAAGGAATACATGAATAATGGATTGTAAAGTAGTTCTAAAAAACTTACACACACAGTCTCCCCACCATACTCTCTACCTGTAAGTCAGCTTTTCCAGAGACGCGCACTTTGCTCTTCATCGTCCTAGGTCTAAGTAATATTTATGTATGTGCGGTTGTCTCTTAAATTCATCTCCTCTGTCTGTTTCCATGAAGGAGTACGAGCGTCTTCGTTCTTATATCCAGCACTTTCCTGCCACCTGCATTCTTTCCTCCAGAGGCTTATCGGTGTACTTCAGAATTTTAGGTTGTATGCATATTTAGTGTTTTCATTATTAGGTCTGTGTAAATATTGTTGACTGCTGAACTACAGGATATACCGCTTTTTTATTTTCCTGGAGCAACTGTCCTCGTTTTTATTTACTTGGTTTTCTTCAAAAGTTGAAGCCTTCTCACACTTTCCAACAGCTCTATAAAATGCCTTTCTCTGTTTTTCTGCATGAGGAAAACTGTCTAGATAATCTGGCTGTCTAGATTATCTGCCAAGTTCCTGACCTTTCCATCTTCTTCATTTTGGACCACTGTCTGCTCTGTGATGGAACTCTTTTATATCCCATGTATTCAGTTTTGTTGAATGAATTTACTTTGCTCTTGAAAGTTTTCCTGGATAGTTAATGAAAGAAAAACAAAAACCCTTCCATGTGGTATTTTTCCTGGGCATAATATTCTGGACTAGAAATAATTTTCATGAGAATTTACAGGGCTCCATTTCTAGGTTTAATGTCAGTAAATCAGTGGCTATTCTGATTACCAGTCCTTACCCTGTGACCTACTATATTCTCCCAGTGGAATATTTTATTTCTTTACCGTTGGTATTATCAGATTTCACAAATGTGTTTTGATGGGTTTGTCATTCAGAGTTTCTGCATTTTCTACTGGCCCATTCCAGCTAGAAGCTCATCTCTGTCAGTCCTGGGAAATTTTTTCTGTTCTTTCTTTGGACTGCCCAAGCTCATACTGTGATCTCAATTTTTTTCCCCTTATAATTTCTATCTGTTTTTCCCCCTACTTTTTTTTTTTTAGATTTTATTTATTTGACAGAGAGAGAGACAGCGAGAGCAGGAACATAAGCAGGGGGAGTGGGAGAGGGAGAAGCAGGCCCTCTGCGGAGCAGAGAGCCGGATGTGGGGCTCGATCCCACGACGCTGGGATCATGACCTGAGCCGAAGGCAAACGCCTAACAACTGAGCCACCCAGGTGCCCCTTCCCCCTACTTTCAAAAATATTTTTCAACTTTTTAATAAAATTTCAGCTTTCTGGTTTTAATCTCTGAAAGCTCTTCCCTACCATTATCTAGTTTGACAGATGCACCTTATCTCTCTAAAGATATGAATTACAGTTATTTTTTTGTTTGCCATAGGATGCTTTTATTTCCTCCTCTTAGTTTCTGTCATGACTTTCTTCAAATGTCAGGCAATTCTTATGCAGTATATTTAAAAAATTAAGAAAAAAGCTCTTTGGAATCTCTGTGGGGAGACAGCCCATCAAGTGGCAGGCCAGCTGACCTCACCAGGGATTCCTAAATGTCAGTTTGTCAGGATCTTTCTGGGTTGCTTCATTTTCTTCAGAGAGGGATCCTCTGATCTCTGCTGGAAAAACGGTGGGGATTCATCAATGTACCTGTGTTCTGGAGGAGAATGAGGTTGGAGAGAGGACCTCACCGAAAAGTTAGCATTCAGACCGGTCTCTGTTTTCAGCCCCATGCTTCCCCCCTGTGCTCCTCTGTGCTGCTTGTTCTCTGATTTAGCTTCTCCAGAGACTGCACGCACAACCTCTCCCCACTTCTCTCTCTCAGGCCAGGGGTAGGGGGCAGAAGTAGTCCTCACTGTACCAGTTCACTGGAAAGTAATGAGACTTCTGTCTTTTCTGTTCCCCACCTTTTAAAACAGTCCCCACTCAGTCCCTTGCCTTATCCCAGCCTAACTACCTAGATCTTTCAGTTCTTAGAACTTCCTTGGGTGAATTGGTTTGCTTGTCTTCAGTATCTCTCTCTGCAGCCACATGGCACTTAAATCACTTAGCACATAAACAGATCATTTATCATTTTACCATCTACTTTCTGCTTTATATTTTGTGACTAGGAGTCAAAAACATCTCCTAGTTTCATCAAAATATGTGGGGTTTTATTTATTATTTTGAAATGATTTTTAAGAGAAGACAGTAGGGGTGCCTGGGTGGCTCAGTTGGTCGAACATCTGACTCTTGGTTTTGGCTCAGGTCATGATCTTAGGGTCATGGGACTGGGCCCCACGTCAGGCTCCATGCTCAGCATGGAGTCTGCTTGAGACCCTCTCTCTCCTTCTGCCCTGCTTGCACTCTTTCTCTCAATAATTTTTTTTTTTTTAAAAGGGAGAGGGTAGAAGGTCTTTATTTCACCAACTTGAAATGTCCATCTGTCTTAAGAGATTTCTATGTGACCTTGAATTTATATATTTCTATGTGACCTTGATTTTTTTTTTCCTGTTTTCCTGTATTAACTCAGAATTAATGTTAGTCGTTTAATCAGTTTCTATTCTTATTCTTAAATTCAATTTATTGCAGTCTTAATCTGAGTCTCTGAGTTATGGTAATTTAACCTATACTACCTATGACATAAAGTCTGGTTTTCTAAGGGTTAAATTATAACATTTTCCTCCAAGAAAATGGGAAAGTTTCAGATTTGACTACAGAATCATATAGCTGCTCTCCCTTAAATGGAAAACCTTATTAAAGATATAATTGGCTTTGATTTAAAAATATTTCTTCATAGTATATATTCTGTATTTACATCAGTTTTTACAAGCATGGAGTATACGTAGGAAACATCTAAGTCAGACATTTCTTTTCAAGAGATTAAAAATATGCAACTAATTTGATAGCTGGAAGTTTTAAATACCCATATCAAGCATAGCAATATATTTTTTGAAAATACTCATATTGATCAACTGTTAAGCTGGCTGAAAAATAGGAGTTTTGTTTTTTTTCTAGAGAACAGTAATAAAAAGGCTGGTATTTATGGCAAACTAGACACACATTTCCCTTTCCCTCCTCCTAAAATCATTCTAAAGTAAAATCCTACATATTCAAAATGGAAAACCTATAAGAGCAAAGAAACAAGGCTGGAGTTTCTGGAAGAGACCACTTAGACTAAAGGGCCCCAGAGAAGGTGAGAACAAATTTAGCATGCAGAATCGCAGAGAGGATTTTGGGTTTAGAATTTGTGACAAATAGGACCAAATTAGGGTAATTCAAGGCCTTTGTAGAGAAAGATATCACTCCCTATATTCATTGCCATGCACAGAGTGCAGGTGCAGCAAGCATTTCTACTCAGAGGGAAATCGCTTTTCTCAAGAAAACTGAACAAATTATGAGAGCCAAGACTTGGCAATTCGAATGTTGATCCCACAGGAAAGCATTTAGAGGAGCAAAAGACTCACAGCCCCCTCCCTTCTCACTCTTAAATGAAATTGCAGATCAGTATGCCCAGTCCTGGCCTGTCCCACAAGGAGCTTCCAGTTAGACTCCCCACTCAGAACTGACAGTAAAACAGTCCCCTGTTTTCACAAAAGCAGAGGGAACACAACACTGGCAACTCAAGCCTCCTTAAGTATAAATTGATAATTAAAGACCACCGGATAAATGAGGTGAACCAACAGGAAGAAAAAGACCAAGATAAATAGAAAAATCAACACCAGAGGAAACAAGGAAAAATTTAAGAGATCTGATATAATAAAGGCTGAGATGTTACATCCATAAAATATGAACAGAATATTACAAGAAAAAAACATGAGAGTTCCTTAATGATTAAAAAATGAATGTCTGTGTTAAAATACCACTACCATTGGAAGAAGTGAGGGACTCCATACATTTGACAGGAAGATACATAATTTTCTCCTCTCCCAACTACACTGGGTACCTAATAGTAGACACAGGAATTTGTATACA